GCTAGGTGCTTCATGCTTGACACAGGTTGACTCACCTCTCCTCCTCACAGCTCTGTGAGGTGACTTCCATTATTATCCTGCCTCAGAGAGGCCCCGTCTCCCCGCTTCCCTTTCCTACGCTCGTTATCATCTAATTCACTACGTATTTTACTTATTTATGATTTTTTAAAATTTGTCTCTCTCCTTCCAACAGAATGGAAGCCCCCCAAGGGCAGGGATTTTTGTTTGTTTACTGCTGTATCCCCAGCACTTAGGAAACATGCTCTTGTTGTTGTTAGCTACTGTGACGTCAGCCCCCCACTCATGGCGACCCCACGCACAACGGAAGGAAGTGCTGCCTGGTCCTCCACCATCCCCATGCTGGGTTATGTATGGATCAGACCATTGTGATCCATAGGGTTTTCACTGACTGTTTTTCAGGGGGTAGGTCACCAGGTCTTTCTTCCTAGTCTATCTTACCTGGAAGCTCCACTTAGAAAACATAGTGGAAGCTCAATAAATGTGGATTGAATGAATGAATGGCAGAAATCGAGGCACTGAATGGTTAATAACTTGCCCCAAATCAAACAGCCAGGCTGTGGCAGAGCCCAGGAGTGATGGCATGAATAACTAAGAAGGCTTTTTGCAAGATCACAGGTTCACAGAGAGGCCTAATAAAACTGAGGTGGAGGGACTGGAGCCTCAGCCTGGATAGGCGAGGCTTAACAACACATTGATTCATCCATTTATTCATTCAAGTAGTCAACGAATATTTCCTGAACACCTACTACACAGCAGGCACTGTTCCAAGCTCTGGGAAAACAACAGTGGACAAGATAGAAAGGTTTGGCCCTCAGTGGGCAGAGTCAGGGAGACAGACAATAAAACAGGAAACAAGTGGATACACAGAATAGTTTCAGGGGATGACAAATTCTGTGATGATAACAGAACAGGGCTATGTGATGAAGGAAGGTCCCAACATGGGACAAACAGTTTGCATTCCACTACTAACCTAAAGGTTGGTGGTTGAAACCCACCCATCGGGGCCACAGAAGAAAGGTCTGGTAATCTGCTTCCAGAAAGATTCTTTTTATTGTTGTTGTTAGGTGCTATCGAGGGGGTTACAGCTCATAGCAACCGTATGTACGACAGAACGAAACACTGCCTGGTCTGGAGCCATAGCAAAGAAAACCCTATGGAGTAGCGCTACCTAGGGACACCATGAGTCAGAATTGACTCAACAGCAATGGTTTTTTATGTGATGGAGACTAACAGAAGGTGGGGGACATAGCATCGTTAGATGAGGGATCTCAGAGCGTTCCTCTTTGAGATGGTCTTGTGTGAACAGAATCCTGCAGCATGGCGCTCTGGGAGAACACAATGCTTGAAACAAGGAATAAAGACCAGGAGACAGAGCTAGGGGTGAGGGCCAGGGGTAGAGGTAGAGTGGAAGGAAACCCAGAAAGCGACTGTGGATGGCAGCTCTGTACAGGACACTGAGGGTTCATGGCCAGGAGAAGGCCCAGGTCAGCTGTTAGGCAAAGGACCATTTGGCTTGGACCATCACCTGGCAGTTAAAGAAGTTGTCCAGAATATCATATTTCGATCTAAGACCAGGAGCCCAGATAGGACAAGATTCTGTTTCTCCAGGGGTTCAGATGACCCGTTGAGGGATAGAAGCAAAGGGTGCTACAGAGAATGGCAGGAGGAGGGCAGGGAGAGGGAACTCCGTATGACAAGGAACTTTGTCAGATAAGATCTGAAAGGGCCTGACACTGAACCTTAAAATTACAGCTTGTTCCCCCACAACTTGCATACCCACTGTGTGTCCAGCTAGAGCTGAGTAGTCACTGGCAATGAGAGTGGCCTTGAAGAGTATCTAATACAAATGATACTTACCTGGGGCTGAGGGCCAGGCCAGCAATCCCCAAACATGGGGGAACATAGAATCATTGAGAGTATTTGCAAAAATGCAGATTACTAGGGCTCACCTCCAGAAACTCCTATTCATTATGTCTAGAGTGGGACTTGAAATCTGCATTTCTGATGCATGTGGTCCCCAGTCAGGCCACACCTTGAGAAATGTGGAAGAGGATTCATTAATGAGCTTCAGGGAGTCCATGAACCCCTGGAAATAGAAAGAAAAATGTGTGTGCCTGCATACGTGTACATTTTTTTTGCCTGGGGAGTGGATCCATATCATCACAAGACTCAAAAACTGATTAAGAACCACTGATCCAGTTCCGTCTTTTGTCTGATAGACGAGGAAACAATCCCAGGAATGTGAGTGACTTGCCTGAGTCCACAAAGCTGGAAGTCAGCAGAGTTGAGATTCCACTGCAGGCTTCCTTTTTCCAAACCCCTCACTCTCTTCCTCAGCCCTGTGGACTGTAGGGGTTGGAGGAGAGAAGAAGGAAGGGAATTCAAGCATTTGGGAAGGGCAAAATCATCAAAGGAGCACTCTCCCCTATTTTGTTTTTTAAATTTTTTTTATTGTACTTTAGATGAAGGTTTACAGAACACATAGTTTCTCACTAAACAGTTAGTACACATATTGTTTTATGACAATGGTTAACAACCCCCCTGCCATGTCAACACTGTCCCTTCTCAACCTTAGGTTCCCTATTACCAGCTTTCCTGTCCACTCCTGCCTTCTAGTCCTTGTCCCTGGACTGTTGTGCCCCATTAGTCTCGTTTTGTTTTATGGAGCTGTCTAATCTTTGGCTGAACAGTGAACCTCGGGAGTGACTTCATTACTGAGCTAAAAGGGTGTC